CTCATACAGTGACTGTGTGTGTGTGTGCATGCGTGCGTGCGTGTGTAAGAGCATAAGTGAAGTAATGACAACACACCTGCGAACAGGTCCATCTGGCTCTTAAAGGGAACAGGAGACGACACTAATTGGTTTGAAGTAAAGCACACTGTTGGGTAATTCAGGTATTCATTTCAACCTTTGTGACCTGTGTCTCACTAAACTGCCCAGATTTTGAGCCAATTAACCAACACAGGGGAGTCCAAAAGGCCCCCAGACCTTACACTGTCCCCTTTAGATAATTCCTTAGGGCCCTATATGACTTATAATTGAAAATGTTATTGCGTTGATAGATGTCTTCATCCTGCAGGGCTGTAACTAGCCTGTAACTAGACTGTAAGGGCTCTATTTTCATGCCTCGCCGGAGACGTGCCGCAGGCGCGGCGTAAGTCAGGTCCGCCACGCCCACAAGGCGTTCCCGGGCACAATTTGGTATTTTGGTGAGCAGCGCAGCCCGGCGTAAGTATCCCCCTCCCTAACTCAGCTCCTCCCAGCGGCGTAAGTCGTAGCGAGGGAGGAGAGAGGGCATGAAGTGGGTTTAACACAGCCGAGACCTGTTTTCACCAATCACATCAGCTCCTCTCCTTGCCTTTAAATCCACCACAGGCGAAGCGTATTACTATTTTCATGAAGTAGTCAAAGAGATCAAGAGATGTCTGAAGACAGTAATGCCACAAGATGGCGACAGAAGGCAGCTCCTCAACAAGTGTCACTGTAAGCGCTGCATTGGGCGTCCTCCACACTCTCTCATATGAGCACAGATGGATTTGGTGTGTGTAATGTTGGACCCACTGGTAAGACAAACACCCTTTTCCACAAATAAAGACACTCACATAAAGTTGCTCATATTCAAACCTCACGTGACAAAGGTGGGTTGTGCGCACAGATCACAACATATACTCCAAAAATGGCATTAAAATCGGAACCATCTGTGCGTAAATGACGCATTGCGCTCCGTGGCCTGGCTCTTTCTTTCATAGATGTTGGCATATAAAATAAATTTGGCTCACAAAACTGAATATTATATTATCCGTATGTCGGCTTAAAGTAGATAACTCATCTGAGCACTGAAACAAATCATCTGTTCAGCCGCCGCAGCAGCAGGATGGAGAGACGACACGGAGACGTGTCCAGGTTGAGCTGTGCGAGAAATAAGATGAAGAGGAAGAAAGAAAAGGAGGGAGACGAATTACATATCTTGTTAACTTCATCATGTGTGTTTATTTACTAGATATTTAATTTAATTTAATGCGGTTTCAGCTGTGTTGATTCGGTCAGGTTGTGTGTCCAAACGCGTGCCAAACGCACTCATCAGATCAGATATAGATCAGAATATATCGATATAGATCTAAATATATGTGCTGACTCAGATTAATAGTTGTTGATGATTATTTATTGCACTGAATTGTGCCTGACACTGTGGAAACCTGCCGGTGAGGCATCGGTGACGTATGCCGATACGCCGCAGGTCTACCAAAATACCTTTAGACCAGCTGCGCTCCGCCTGTGCTGAAAGATGACCAGGTTTGAATCGCCGAGCTTTCAGCGCACTTTACACGCCGGTGGCAAGCACGAAAATGTCACTGCGCCCGCTGATTCTGTCGACACCTCCCCCTGCCGCGCCACCACGCCCAGCTTGGCGGATCTCGGTTCGCCTCCGTGCGCCTCAGTTCACGAAAATACCAAACTGGCTGTACGCCGGGCTCCACCAGATGAAAATACAACTGCGCAGGGCTCGCCGCCCTCCGTCGCCTCACCTTGTGGCAAGAAGGAGAGTGAGGCAGGCCCTCCCTCCTCAGAGGTAAGGGGAGGGGCTTGCCACTCATCAGAGTAAGTGAATGCACCTGAGTGCTGAGAGAAGGAGAGAGCAGACAGACAGTGCAGGGCCAGGAGAGAGGTGACAGGAAAGTGAGACAAAGAAAAGTTTGTGAGCTGACTGGAGAAATAAAACTGAAAGGACACCAGCAACGGAGAAACCCCCCCGGAGTGTGTGGAACCGACCGTCTAAAGGGTCAATGGTCAGGCACTCGGAGCCTCCTCATTCTGGAGTAAAACCTTGACTGTTAAACCAGCTCAGATAAGTTGACGTTAATTGTTTCCCGGCTTTCCCCGTCCTCTTGGTCCCTGTCTGGATTCCCTGTTCCCTTCCATCTCCCTCCCCCCATACACCTACAACACTCCACACCACATACCAACAAACTTGAACTGGACTCTTTTTTTTCACATACACCCACACACCATTCCCCCCCCCCACACACACATCACTCACACACTCACATTTTGGACATATACAAAAGAACTGGACTTTTCACACACACACACTCACACTCATTTATTTTCTCATTTTTGCTATTTTTTAAGGATCTTGGGACTATTATTTAAATTTGTATTTGGTGTTTGTTGAATGCGGTTTTGTGCTGTTTTGATTAATTTGTTTGTCCCTGTTTTGCTTCTTGAACATTTAACTTTGATAAAAAGTATTTTTTCTTTACTCTCGAATCTTTTGTTGAAATTTTGTAGCAGGGGTATCGATCGAGCTAGTCGTATATTTCTTTAGATTAAGTCTCAGGGTATTTTGATTTTTTATAAATTCATGATAGGATGATTAGTTCCCCTGTCTGGCGCCCAACTCCAAACCTAACCTGAGCCCTCTTTTTGAACCCCTACGCTACAGAAATGGCGCCCAATGTGGGGCCTAAACCACGAAATGTGCTGAGTTAATTGTTTCGGTTCTAACCATGTGATTATTTCATTATTTCATTTATTCTATTACCATTAATTGGGGTTGAATTACACCTGATCGCTTTGAATATTGAATCTTGATTGAACTTTGATTGAATCAATTGATTGAGTAACTGTTTTTGTGGCATGATTTTGATTGTGGTGACAAATTCTACTTGAATGTGGTCATTTCTTGAAAAAGTAATTCATTCTCTGCTTAACACAAAATGTCTAATCAGAAGTCTCTTGGTGACCTTGATATAGAAGCTCCTGATGTGCAGACACCTGTACGTGTTTATGGCACAGACACAGCATTTAGTGCACACTTGCAAACATATTTTCAGACACCACTGCCCCCTTCAGTAAAGGCATCTGAAACTCATGACCTTGCCCAATTTCCCTCCCACTTTGAACCTGCCCAGTCACTAAACCAGTCACTTACTTGGGAAACAGAAGCGGTACCTTCTTTGCCTGACCCAGGAGGAGGCCATTTCGCGCTTTCAGCCTCGTCCCCATATTCACTGTCTCAGTCTCAGTGCGAACTCCCAAAAACCCTCCCCACTCCTGCACGGAACTTAAACCAAATTGCAGAAAAAACCCAGGAAGGTTGGGATAGGATCCATAAACAAATGGAAACACAAAGTGTTGCAATGAAACACCTGACAGAGTGTGTTGAAGGAATTCAAACATCTTCTTCTAAACACTTTCAAGATCTAATGAATAAAACCCGTGACAATCATCGTCTGCTTCTGTCACATATCATTTCTCATAAGGAAAGTGTGGAAACGGAAATGGATAAACTTGTGAAAGGAATTAAAATGGTTGTGGACGAAGAGCTGAAAAACTCCGAGACATCTCTTCTTTCAGAAATTCGCTTCATGGTCGAACAACTTCAAGTGGAACTTCAGAAGGAAATGAAATGCTTTCACACTACTGCTCAGGAAAGTATCTGTCAATTGGTAGACACAGTTAACGAAAGTAGCTCTGCAATCACAAAACTGACCATCCAACTTGGAAAAGAAGAAACGGAGAGGAAAGAACAAATGCAAAACCTTGAACAGAAAATCATCTTACTGGACAGACGACTCGAATCTTTTTTGGTAGAAGGTAAATCTACCTCTGCTTATCCGTGTTCCAGTCCTTGTTCAGGGGAGAAAACTCCAACCTCACTTGCAGCCCCTAATTTAGCGGTTACAAAGAGTGATCACATTAAGTTAACCTTTCCTACATATGGTGGGATACATGATGATCCTGATCCCCTCAGTTATCTGTCAAAGTGTCATGACTTTCTTGCTCTTCATCCTTTGTCAGATGCTGATATTCTTGCCACTTTCAGAACTGTTCTCCGGGGAACAGCCCGCGACTGGTGGGAAATTGCCCGATCTAAGGTTATTACTTGGAATCAATTTGAGACAGTTTTCCTTGCAGCTTTCCTTGCAGAAGATTATGAGGATGAATTAGCAGAGCGTGTTCGAACCAAGAAACAGCATGAAAATGAAACTATCAGAGACTTTGCTTTCTCATATAGAGCTCTTTGTAAAAGATGGAAACCCTCTCTCACAGAAGCTAATATTGTTAAGATGATTCTGAAAAACATCAAACCTTTTCTTGCTAGTCAACTCCGGGGTCGTGTTGACACTGTGGAAGATCTGGTGCGCCTTGGTCATCAACTTGAAAAAGATCATGAACAGCAGCTTGAGTACAATTCAAGAATGTGTGCTAAAAACATTAATCCTCTTTCTAAAACCATGCACTCAGGTCCACCTGTTGAAAAGAACAGACCACCTGTCTTATGCTGGAGATGTAAAGGTAACCACCTTCCTGGCTCTTGTCCACATTACAGCACACCAGACCCTTTCAGTCATTCTCCCAGGATACCTAAACACTTGTCACGCCCACCAAAGACAAAAGCTCTGCCTGGAAATGGCTCTGTCTCCCTTGTAAAATCAAGAAAATCTGGAAAGCAGCCAACTCGGCAAACACAGAGGAATGGATCCACCTCAGAGAGTTCTGGCCCTCCACCCGATTCTTCCTCTAGTCCCCTACAACTTATTGTGCCTCTCTCCATAAATTCATGGCATGGAAAAGCTATAGTTGACACTGGGGCCAGTTACACTCTCATTCATGAGTATCTTTGGCGGGAACTGAAGGGTACCAGAGACATCCTTCGACCTTGGACAGAAGGTCCACTGTATCTGGCTAATGGTGAACCGGCTACTCCCATTGGATGGGGAGACCTCACCATGGCTCTCCATGGACATGCCTCCACTTTACCTGTAGCGGTATTGGGACCAAACGCTCTGGCGTATAGTGTTGTTCTTGGCCTGAACCTCATTTCCAGTGTTGGAATGATCATCAATGTGGCTGATAAGGAGTATAGCTTTAAGTCAATGCCCTCTGTTGCTTACCCATTCCAGCCTGGCAGTGCCCACTACACACAGACAAGAGACCGTGACAAAAAAGTCACTCAAATGACCCCCAACCGATCAGCCCTGAATCTTTCACTGATAAGTTCTGTTCCACCTCCCATTCTCTCTCTGGAGCCTGCTTGAATGGATGTGAAAGATTACATCGATGTTGCTGTGAAGGATGCTCATTTGGAGGACAGTGACAAGAAACTGTTAAGAAATCTCCTTGAGTCTAGCCCACAAGTTTGTACTAACCAGCCTGGTAAGACTGATGTTTTGCAGCACACCATCTATACCACTGCCTGTGTGCCTATCAAACAAAGACCTTATAGACTCTCACCTGTCAAGCAAGTTATCGTGGAAGAACAATTAGGTGAGATGCTGGCTACTGGAGTCATTGAACCCTCTCACTCAGGATGGGCATCTCCTGTTGTCTTACCTCCAAAAAGGGATGGCGGTCATAGATTCTGTGTTGATTTCCGAAAAGTCAATGCTGTCACTGAAACTGATGCCTATCCTCTCCCAAACATCAATGAAATCCTTGAGTCACTTTCTGGAGCCACAATCTTCTCTATGATTGATTTGAACAGTGGATACTGGCAAGTACCCATGGATCCTGAAAGCAAAGCAAAAACTGCATTCATTACCCATCGTGGACTGTATCACTTCAATGTGATGCCCTTTGGACTCAAAAATGCTCCCGCCACTTTCCAAAGACTAATGGAGAAAGTCTTGGAAGGGCTCAGAGGAAATATCTGTCTAGTCTATCTAGACGATATCATTGTGTACTCATCATCTGTGACTCAACATCTTGAGCGGTTACATACTGTAATCGATCGTCTCTGCAAAGCAAATCTGACTGTTAATCTTAAGAAATCTAGGTTCTGTCTGAAAGAAATCAGATTTCTTGGACACATTGTCTCTGGTAAAGGTGTCAGCGCTGATCCTGACAAGGTCGAGGCAATTCGGTCCTATCCGGTGCCGACAAATCTCAAGGGAGTCCAGAGATTCTTGGGGCTGGCAGGCTGGTATCATAAATTTGTGCCAGACTTCTCGAAAGTTGCTCAGCCTTTGAATGACCTAAAGAAGAAAGGAAAACCTTTCATCTGGAGTTCAGCATGTCAGTATTCCTTTGACAAACTCAAGTCAAGCTTGATTTCTCCACCTGTCCTGGGTCATCCTAATCCAGACCATCCATTCTTAGTCTATACTGACGCAAGTGATATTGGTCTTGGAGCGGTGCTTACTCAGAAAAAAGACGATGGAACTGAGGAAGTTATTGCTTATGCAAGTCGAACCCTGAATCAAGCGGAAAGGAATTACTCAGTTACAGAGAAGGAGTGCCTTGCCGTCATCTGGGCTCTGGAAAAATGGCAGCATTATCTTGAATTGAAGCTATTCACTGTCATTACCGATCACTCTGCCTTGAAGTGGGTCCTTTCATCAACAAAAACCACAAGTCGCTTGATTAGATGGTCACTGAGGTTGCAACGTTTTGACTTTATTGTGGAGTACAGAAAAGGAAAGTTGAACGATGCTCCTGATGCCCTCTCAAGAATTCCATCTAAGGTTGGTCTTTGTCTGTACTCTCCAAATGGTGATGAGATTACTCCGATATCCCTTAAAACCATTTGTGAAGAACAACATGTGGACACAAACATAGAGCAAGTTATGAAACAGCTTGCTGAAGGAGATGTCAAAGTAGAGCAGGATTTTGTGATCCGGGAGGAAAAGTTGTATCATAAAACACAAAAATCTGAAAACCAGTTCCATTATCGGCTTTGCATTCCCCGTAGTCTGGTTCAACAATTGCTCATGAACTATCATGAAAATCCCTTGAGTGGACATGCTGGAATCTTCAAAACCTATAAAAGGTTATATGAAGTGGCATATTGGCCTGGAATGTGGACTGATGTGAAACTCTTTATCAAGCAATGTGTTGTTTGTCAAAGTCTGAAAGCAGATAACCAAAAACCTGCTGGAAAGTTGCAACAAACCACTGTCAATGGCCCGAATGAAATGCTTGGGATTGACCTCATGGGTCCGTTACCTCGAAGTTCAGAAAGGAATGAATATTTGCTTGTGATCATGGATTATTTCACTCGTTGGGTGGAATTCACCCGCCTGCGAACGGCTACAGCCACGACCATAGCCCGCTACCTGAGGAAAGATATTTTCACCAGATGGGGAATACCTGACTACATCTTGTCTGACAGAGGACCTCAATTTGTGTCTTCTATATTTCGTGAACTCTGTAACCAGTGGACTGTGATTCCCAAGCTCACCACAGCATATCATCCACAGACCAATATGACGGAAAAGAGTGAATCGTACTCTAAAAAGTATGATAGCCTCTTACTTGGATGACAATCATGGTAAATGGGATCAATACCTTCCGGAATTCAGATTTGCCATAAACTCCGCTGTTCAGGAAACTACAGGTGTAACGCCTGCTGAACTGCAGATGGGCAGGAAGCTGAATAGTCCGATGGATAAAGTTCTGAAAGGCAGGATTTTATCCCCTGATGAGCCTGCATATGACGTTGTGCATCATCTCACACAACTGAAAACAGACGTGGAGGAAAACATGAAAAAAGCAAAGAAGAGGCAACTGAGGAACTACAATAAAAATCGCCGCCACGTTGATTTCAAACCCAAACAGAGAGTGTGGGTTAGGAATTTCCCTCTGTCTAAGGCTAAGGACAAATTCACAGCTAAATTAGCCAAAAAGTGGAGAGGTCCCTACCGTGTAGTTCAACAGCTTGGCCCTCTGAATTACCAAGTTGTTCTGGAGGACACAGGGTTGGATGCAAGGACTGTGCATGTCGGCAACCTGAAACCTTTCTACCCCAGTGCGGAGGACTTGGAGGTCATGGAAAGGAAAAGAATAATGGACCTGCTACAGGAAAGCTCAGGAGAAGAAGATTTTTTAGGGTTTTAGTTTGAAGACTGAGTTTCCAGTATACACGGTCTCATCAAGGGGGGGAGAGTGTGGCAAGAAGGAGAGTGAGGCAGGCCCTCCCTCCTCAGAGGTAAGGGGAGGGGCTTGCCACTCATCAGAGTAAGTGAATGCACCTGAGTGCTGAGAGAAGGAGAGAGCAGACAGACAGTGCAGGGCCAGGAGAGAGGTGACAGGAAAGTGAGACAAAGAAAAGTTTGTGAGCTGACTGGAGAAATAAAACTGAAAGGACACCAGCAACGGAGAAACCCCCCCGGAGTGTGTGGAACCGACCGTCTCAAGGGTCAATGGTCAGGCACTCGGAGCCTCCTCATTCTGGAGTAAAACCTTGACTGTTAAACCAGCTCAGATAAGTTGACGTTAATTGTTTCCCGGCTTTCCCCGTCCTCTTGGTCCCTGTCTGGATTCCCTGTTCCCTTCCATCTCCCTCCCCCCATACACCTACAACACTCCACACCACATACCAACAAACTTGAACTGGACTCTTTTTTTTCACATACACCCACACACCATTCCCCCCCCCCACACACACATCACTCACACACTCACATTTTGGACATATACAAAAGAACTGGACTTTTCACACACACACACTCACACTCATTTATTTTCTCATTTTTGCTATTTTTTAAGGATCTTGGGACTATTATTTAAATTTGTATTTGGTGTTTGTTGAATGCGGTTTTGTGCTGTTTTGATTAATTTGTTTGTCCCTGTTTTGCTTCTTGAACATTTAACTTTGATAAAAAGTATTTTTTCTTTACTCTCGAATCTTTTGTTGAAATTTTGTAGCAGGGGTATCGATCGAGCTAGTCGTATATTTCTTTAGATTAAGTCTCAGGGTATTTTGATTTTTTATAAATTCATGATAGGATGATTAGTTCCCCTGTCTGGCGCCCAACTCCAAACCTAACCTGAGCCCTCTTTTTGAACCCCTACGCTACAACCTGCGTACACGAAAATAGACCCCTCAGTGTCTGACAAGATCATAGAAAGAATTCCTACATTTTCGCCAAGACTCTGAGTGAGATCAGTCTCAGATTATCCGACTCACGTAAACTAAAGACAGACCAGACTTTGACAAATCTCTCATTATGAGGAACATTTTATTTGAGTATTTTTAAGATTATTTGAATAAATTGACCATGTTCAACAGTTAGCTATTCACCCCGAATCTCCCTTGTTTATTTTTACATTAAAGGACTGCTAGTACTCTTTTTTTAAATTTTTTTTTATTATCCTAGGTGTATACAGGGAGAGTTTAGGCTGACAAATTCGTTTCACGATCTGGATTATGGCTTGACTTGTATTTCAATACATCATTTAAACACGACAGGTGCTATTAGTTAATACTCTTTGTGCTCTAATTATAATTTTAAATAGAGCTTGATAGTGAAATGCTAAAGCTCCTTTGAGGGACTGTTTAGAGGATTCCGGCACCCCTTTGTTGACAAAGAAGTGTGGCTACTCTCTAATGATTTGGGCTGAATGTGTGTTAGTCCTGTTTAAGAACCCCAACCTCATCCTGTGCTTTTTTTTTTAATTAAAAAAAGATTCACTTGTAAATTATCTTTCCTTTAAAGTTTACCCAAAATAATTCACTTTCAACATGCTGGTTATCTTCTGTTAAAGCTGCAGTAAGTAACCTTTGATTGGTATCAATTTTGGCGCTCTATGTGGACAAGGTGATACCTTTTATCTTTTGTCCCCTACACGTTAGAGTAGTTTTCTGCCTTTTCACAGTGAAATGAATCACTGACCGTGTGTATAAGCCATGGACAAAAAAGTAAAAATATATATTTCATAATTAACCATCAAATATTTGACTGAATCTCGACATTTGTTCTTAAAAATCTCAATCAAACTCAATCAAAGGTGTAAAATTCATTACTGGTGTGAATATCTGTATGACTGATAGTATGTTTGCTCTGTGCATCAAATAAAGGCATTGATTACAAGAGAAAAGCTTCTCAAGTCTGCTTTATGCCTGATTGTAAAGTAGTCTCTCTGAATGTGATCACAACAACGGTAAAATCAAATTTGCTTGAAATGACAGCTACGTAAGTGTAGATCTGCGATTGAGAAATAGGTGAATTATTTCAGCATCTTGTCAGCCTGTTCTTTGTCACTTAGTCAACAAAATGTGTTTACTTTAAGTCTGTAGTTCTGTTGTAAGACAGATTTCGGCTGATTTATTGCGACTTGCTGGAAAGAGTGAATCTAAGACTCAGCAGAGATGGACAGACAGGCACTCCACAGCTGAAACTGTGGTAGTGTTGGTAGTTCAAGTCTATCAGGTTGTGAAGTTGGGCTCAAGTCAGGTGGAAACAGATGTAAAGCTCATCAGTACAACACCACATCCTCATGGAGCAGATTTCTGTTTACTCTCACCTGCGTGTCTGATGCTGTCTGCTGATTTATCTGACGGTTCATCAGGACAGCTGCTCAGCCTCCTGAAAACACTGTCCCTTGTTCTTCTGAGTTTATAAACAGACAGACGCTATTGAGTTCAATCAGCCTGAGAATAATTTTCAGGGAAACAGCAGACATCTCTTTTTGCTCACGCTGGCTCAGGCGGGGCTCCACCCACAGTGCCCTCGTATACCAGCTGCCACTGTGCCCTAAGGAACTACAGTATATGGTTCCTGTGCACTCATTGTTGTCCTATGTTTCCACCGCAGACAGAAGTCCTGGGTTGAGAATGCAAAAAAGGCCAATGAAATTGAGGGGTGGTGTCTGGAAATGAAATTACTTTCATAGCTCTTTATTGTTGTCTCTTTTTTTACAAAGCACTGCAAAAGTATGAGGTACAATGTGTAGTCATACAGTGAAAGCCTCACATACATGCACACACACTTATTCTCAATACATTAATATTATTCTGCCCCTGTTATACCTCTGGTACTATCTCTGAGGATGGATCAGAAGTCGGATAATAGGGATAACTTAACGGCATAAATCTACCTTAATAATTTACATATTGCAGTCTTTTCAGAGAAAAGCAGGTGACATGGCTGAGTAGGTGACTGCTTGCAAGTTTTATACAACCTATAGGACGCCCACGGGTGTTCTTATTGTGCACGTGTTTCTGTTCGTCCAGAAAAATATTCACTAAATAAACTGAGGATTAGATTTGGATTAAATCAGCTCAATTTTTACTCCATTCTTCCAGTAGATTCACCTGGTAGGTGTGTCCTTGGCATGTTTATGAATAAGTAGAACAGCACGGTTGGTCTCCATGGAGACACTCAGTCATAACAAACAGGCTGAGGGTGGTGATGAATAGCATCTCTAATAACTGAGGCTAAAATATTCAGATCTGGACCTAGGGGAAACAGGCTGTTGCTAGTGTTTAGACCATAATCCCTTTACAGGTCTGACAGATTAATCTTATTTCATTGTGATTTATCCTTGAGGGACAGGAGGAGTTTTTTCTTTTTTTTCTTAAGTAAGGAAAAGAGAACATCAACACTACTCATAACTGCGGTTATAAAATGAGGACACCTGGGGTCTCATTACTAAATGTTGCAAATACAGCAGTGCCTGAAAACGGCATCACTACTTTCCACGCAAAGTTTGTGATCATTCAAAACCACGCCAAAAAAAAAAAGTGTTCATCATGAAGTAAGGTGTTCCTTAACAACACACAGGCAGATGTCTCTGATAATGGCCATGAGGTGAATTTAAGCTTCATGATCATTTTAAGCATTTTAACACAAAAAGGTCTTAGTTAATTTCAAACTTTGAAAAATAGCTACTTCATCAACTTGTCTAACCTTAGAGCAAAAAGAGAAGAACCAGACTGAATCCGAACTTCACTAACAAATTTTCAAAGACCAAAATGATATCAAAAAGCATGAAAAGAAAAAAAAATATGGTTGTGTTCAAGTATTGGCTCATGTGTGTTATTTTAATCTTCATACAGTGAACTTTGCTGTGGGTTTCATTGAATGGATGCACACACTGTAGAGGCCACACACTCAGATATGCTTCACTGTTAAACCTGTGAGGTGAAGTAAATTGATATGAGAACAAAACAGACTACATAACTAACTTACTGTATGAATAAATAAACAAGATGAAAAAGTAGTCAGCAAATAAGTAATTAATTAGATAAATAAATGATTAAAAGCTAAGTGAATATGAAGTTATCATAGGTAAGTTGATTAATAATTAAATACAAATGAATTAATGAGTAAATAGATAAATGAATAAAAAAACAAATAAAAGTGTAAATAAGTAAATAAGAGTCAATATCATTTGACAAGTAAATTCATAAGTAAATTCATAAATAAAATGAAGCCAAATAAGATAATAAGTTATTAATCAATTAAATGGGTGAATACATTAATAAAAAAATAAACAGATAAGCCAGTTAGGAGGTTAAAACAAAAAAGTCCAATAAATACATAAATATGAATGTAAGTTAGTTGATAAAATTAAATCCATAAAGATTTAATGAATAAATAAATAATTAATTAACTTAGTCAATAAATGTATAAATATATATATTTTTTTCCATAAGATTCTTGTTTTGATTTAGATCTGTGATATTCTTTTCTAGCATTTTGATTGATTCCTTGTTTTGTTTTGAAATTACCGTGTGCATGACTACATTTCTGTTTATTGTTATTGTTACTGAATTTGACCCATAAATCCAAACAAAGCTCAGAAACTCAGAGACACTGAAGATCTGAAAGACTGAAGATCCGAAAGACTGGATTTTAAGGTTTTTTTTAATTACTTTTCTTGGTTGCTGCTGGAGCAATGCCGTTTAAGAGAGCAAGTGCCTTCTCACATGTGTCTGAATCAGACACTGAAGCTTTCGCAGAGGCCGAGAGAGAGTTCAAGTCCAGATGTCTGCATTTTGAGGACCGCAAGCGTGTGAACAAAGAGGAGGAAGACATGCCTCTCCGTAAGGAAGAGGCCTTACTTAAAAAGCAGGCTAAACTACAGCAGGAGCTGAATGCATTGAGCAGGTCTTCACAGTCTCACAGTGGGAAGACGCAGATACTTCATTCAGAGTTGGCATTGACAGACACGCTTCGTGAGGACAGACAGGAGGCACAGAGTCAAACGGAGCCGGCAGAACTGCAGAAAGAGGAGATCAGTGCTGAGAAACCAAGTTGTGAGGATAAGACATTGAGTATTTTGGAGGACAAGCTTTACACAGTCAGCACTTTTGCAAATCAGCTGTTTAAACAGATCAACCCACTGGCAGAGGAGAGGCAGACTGATCAAACCAAATACGCCCTTTATCAGCAGCATCTTGAACCAATGGAAAAGGAGCTGAATGATCTCTGCAAAATGGAGAAAGAAATGATTTGCCCAGCCACAAGTGCTTACGAAGACGTACACAAGATTCAAACCAAAATGATTTGGCCGCTTGCTAGGTTACAGGAAAAGAACTTTATCTTGCGCCAGAATAAGGAACAGGACCTGGTCAAGCTTGTTGCAGATGAATCCAACCAGACAGAGTTACTGATCAGCAAATTCAGAGAGGAGAACGAGCAGAAAACCTCTCAAGATGAGACCCAAGGGATTAAACTCACAAAGGTGTCAGATCTTAAAGAACTGGAGCTTCTGATCGCTGATAGCAAGAGGACGAACCCTCTCCACTGAGCCAAAACATGATCCAAGGCAAAATCTCAGACCAAGGCGAAACAGATGAGAGGGGGACCCTTTCTGACACACCGTCTGGCTATCCAGTGGAAGGCACCTCTGCTGTGATTATAGATAAAAACATCATGTCCACTCTGGATCTGCTGGAGATTGAGGCCATTCAGCTACTGCTCTTGGAGAAGTACCTGGAAAATGAGGATTGCCCAAAGATGATGAAATTGTCGGCGAACCCCCTGCTACTGAGGTCAACGGAGGGTCAAAAGAAGTAACCAGTCCTTCTCCCCTCCTCTCTGCAAACAACTAAAATAGCATTTAAAAAAATAAAAATACAAGAAAACTCAATAGAGAAGAAGCTCTCTCTTTTCACTCTCTCAATTCAAATAAAAAAAAAGAAAAATACAAAAATATGAAACAGGTACCGAATTTAAGAATTTTGCAATCTGCAATAGATGTAATATATTCAAGATAGATTGAAATATATGTTGTTAATACTTAATTTATCTACAGTTTTATTATATACTTAATCCTTGTATGTAAATTGCATTTTTATTTCTTACTTATTGACCATTTTGAGTTTAGTAGTAGTAGTATACAAACTGATGCTGCTGGAATTTTAATTTTCCTGAAGAAACCTTCCCTAATGGATTAAAAAGTTCTCTGTACTTTAATCTAATCTAATCTCTGGATAAATATAGACACAAAGATATAGTTATAGAAATAGACATATTTAAAGAGGTGGTATTGTCCTTTTTTCCATATTTTAAAAGCAAATATTGAATGAAAATGTTGGACATCAGCAATGTGAGGTTAATGAGTGTTGAATAATCCCCAACTGCAGTCTGCTCTAAATGGTTAATTCAAAACTAAATTCAACATGAGGTTTGCTTAGATCCAGACATCATCAGACAGTAAATCTCCTTAAATGGGGAAGTTTTTCATTTTATAAGAAGAAACATCACTTTTTTATGCATAGCATCAGTGAAGGAGGGTTCAAGAATGGTGGTGGTGGTGGGGGGGTGTCAGCATGTCAGACAGAGGCTGAAATGGGGGTTTTATCAAAGACAGCAGCCTGAAATATCTCTAAGAAACAATAGTATTATGAACCTCTTTAGAGATGTAGATATACTGCACATTTACAGCTCAAAAAAAAAAAAAAAAGGGGGGGTTCTACCTGCTGGACTTTGCTGCCTGACCTCCAACATTGCCATTATATGCAGACGTGTCCCACAGAGAATCTGCCTGGAGAAGCCACACTGATGCCTCTAAGTGAGGGCTAAGTGAGGTCATCTGCCTGGGACCACCAGCCACATTTTTGACCCCAGTACTATCCCTACCAACACCCGAGGTTCAGCACTTACTTTAGCCACAACCAGAAGCTGCCTTTTTCCACTACCTCTGACAGCTCTTTAAAGGCTTTCAGGCATCCCACTTAAATTCAGCCCATTTCAATTTCAATTTCAATTTGTTTAGGAAAGCCCCTTGAGATGCAGCGTTTTTTTTTTTGTTTTTTTGTTTTTTTTTTGAGGGGGTTCCAACACAGATACAAAATATAACACTACATATACATTACAATAATACAAAACAAACACAAAACACACCGCTCTACCACCTCCACAGCCCTCATGCCCCACCCAGCCTACACACCACCAGCCTACACACCACCATTGGTGCTTACACACACAAACACATAACCCCATTGCAATACCATACAAAATCAGAAGCAACAGGATGCCACAGCAATTTTGAATAATGTGATAAAACAGTTAAAACACAAAAACAATATCAAAAACATGAACAACTTGTTTATAAGTGGTAAAATAAACTTGATCTAAAGATAAAAAAGGGGGTGATGGACTTAAAAGAGAAAGGAAGGTTTGTCCAATCAGATGGGGCTTTGAACTTGAATGACCTGCGACCTATTTTATTATGGATTTTAGGGACAATAAAAATGGATATATAGACATACAATATGTCGAAGAGGATATGCAGCTGTAACCTGGACCAGGCGTAAGTGGGTACATTGAAAAAGAAAACAAGACCAAGTGAAACTGACGCCTGGAGTTAGAATGAAGCAAATTGAGGGTCTTGTACATGAGGCTCTGAATGGACATCTCAAGACAAATCTGCAAAAGGTTGTATGTCAAAGCCAGCCTGGAGGACAACTTCTGCTCAGGAGCAGCCCCCCATCTCCTCCTCCCATTAGACTGTCAGCCCCATCAGCAAGATGTTCCTGGTAACAACGTCCTGGTAACCATGGACCTTGTGAGTTGAATGGAAAGTCTTGCTGGTGATGAAGGACACTTTCTAATGCTGAAGAGTCCTTGGGCAAGATACTTGACCCCACCTGCCCCCACTGGCTGCATCCAGCATGTGTGTTAATGGGATAAGACTAAAATTTAAGGCGCTTTGCAAAGCAGCATCTACTATCAGTCCATGAACTACTATAAACATAGTCCAGTTACCACTTACCAATTAAAGGTCATGCCACCAACTGTAACTCATGAAGGACGATGTCATCCTTTCCCTGACAGGACGTGCTAGAGGCTGACATTTGTGGCAGTGCAAAGAGAACAGGGGCCTCATGTATCAACGCTTGCGGCGCAAGAAAACCTTGCGTACGCCAAAATCGGCGCACACGTCCAGATTTATCATCGCGAAACGAGCGTCGGTTCCAGCGCTAATCAACGCAAAGTCAGGAGGTGGTGTAGAAATTGGCGTTGAGCTGGATATTTGCGTTGACTGTGATTCGCACTTTGGCGACGCTGTGTGGCGGTGTTTGGTGACTCACTATGTGACCAGCGTGCACCACATCCCCGTGGCCGGGCAGCACGTCGCCCCACATGACGAACCAGCAGCAGACGGAGGGATGCGAGCTGATCCCTGCCGGGCCGCCGTCCTCGCGCGGGAGAATCTCATCGCCACAGTGTGAATGGGTAAGAAGTGAATACACAGTTCAATGAGCCAAATTAATTTATTTTCTCCACCAGACGCTCGAGGAAATTTACGAGCCGGTCCAGCCGCTCGTTGATCCCCGCGATCCCCCTGATGATTTCTTCCTGCGATTGCAGGACCCCCTCCGCGAGGACCCTTCCACTGCGTCCGGGTGGTCCAGCGGAAGCGCCGCGGCTGGTGGACGCTCCACCGCTTGTCGGCGCGCTGGTGCTGATGCTGGTGCTGGGGCCGGGGGCCGGGGTGGCCCGACTGCCGCTGGTCCTGGCCGACGACTCCGAGCCGGCGGACGGGCTGCCGCGGGCCAGGGTTCCGCAAGCCGGCGACACGGCCGACACATTAATTTCTGTGACACAATAAAAATATTAGTTCATTTCAATTCCTGCTTCTGTGTATCTGTTGCGTTTACATCTCTCTCCACGGTATCATAGGTAATGTAATCCAGTATTTCGAGGTCAGTTATGCACATAACAGTTGTTTATTGCATAAAAAGTTATCGGAAAATGAAATTAAGGGCGAAGTATAAATCACGTCTAAAAATAGACTGAATCCCGACGTTGAAATGAAGTATAAACTTAGACTAGACGTCTAATATACGTCTTTTGCTCAGTGGGATGACAAAGCATGTGGACATTTGTGTGACACGCCACTTACCCTATAATAATAATCGCCACCACCCGCTGCTCAAACGGTGTGAGGGTCTCCTCCCCCGGACCCCCACCTGTCTGGCCGGTACTCCTCCGGAGGGCAGCTGTACGCCGCTTGACCTCCACCTTGAGGTCCGACCACTGTTTTTTAATCTCCGCGGGGGTGCGTGTCTCGGAACCCACCGCATTCACCCTCTCGCAAACTTTCTCCCACTCCAAGCGTTTTTGTTTTGCACTGACGCCACTGGACAGGCTGCCAAACAAAACACGCTGTCGCTCCTCCACCTCCGCCACCAGCACCTCCACCTCGCACGCCGTAAATGTAGTTTTTCTTGTCATTTTGTCTGCGTGCGAGGACAGGGAGACCCTATTTAAATAAATCTGCATATTTATAGGAGGGCGTAACGAGGACGGGCCCAGTCACTCCGACATCTGCGCTCAATTCCACGCTGATTGGGATTTATCAAGGAAACACACGTGGATTTCGGCGCCCGCACACATTGATACATACGGATTTTTTTCAGCGTGACGGACCTTGCGTGCGCTCGTTTCTGGTATGAGTTCCACGCAAGTGTTGATACATGAGGCCCCAGGTCTCCTCATTGCCAAACCATTGGTGAAGGATTCAAGGACCAAGTAGAGTGTTATATTTTGCTCTGTCTAGGAAGTTAAGCCTAGCTTGAGGGACCCTCCACAGATATGGATCATGATATCCAGCTGATAGCCTTCAGACACTGTATTGATTTTCTAGTGCTGTTTTCCAGGAATCATAGATGGCAGCAGGGTCATAATAACACATGTGCATATCTAAATTCTGTGGTCATGTGACACAGATATAGATACTGTCTGCACAGTGGGTGGTTTCTCATACATTTAGATGAGGAGCTGCCTAAAAGTGGTGACAAATAGACATTTAATATATATTACTCCTAGACAATGAGAACAATGTGATGAGCCCTGCAATGTGTCAGGTACACATGACACATTTGATTCAGCCAAAGTATATACTGTACAAGGCATCATCAAAAACCTCCAATACAGAGTTCTTCAGTTATTTTACTTTAAATTGTATTTATTTATTCATTTTTAATTCCTCACAGACAAAAAGTGCAGTGTAATGTGGACAGTACTATGAAACTCTGAAAAGCTCAACAATGCTACTTTTTACATTTCAGTTCACCATCAGACTTGCTTTGTGCTGGTTGGTAAGTTTAATTTAGTTAGAGTATGCTATGATCTGCGTGATCAAATCACATTTTGTTGACTGCAGCTGGTTCTGACTGTTTATTTCCCCTCTAACATTAAACCTTAGCTGATGTTTATCAGACTGTTTCACTCTCTGGTGTTTGACCTGTTAGGTTTGATAAAGAACCAAATCTCTAATCTACGAGCCGAGATGATGCT